ATCATCGTCATCAGATTCATCATCATCATCATCATCATCAGCAGCAGCATCATCATCATTACCCCAGTGTGACCCTACCTAGAAGTTGGAGCCCCTAGGAAAGCAGCATTAGTTGCTATGCTACGCTATGCTATGCTATGACATGCTATGCTGCGCTATGCTATGCTATGCTATGCCATGCTATGCTGCGCTATGCTATGCTATGATATGCTAAGCTATGCTGCGCTGTGCTTTGCTGTGCTGTGCTATTATTTGCTGTTGCTGTTGCTGTGCTTTGCTTTGCGTTGCTTGTGCTTTGCTTTGCTGTCGCTGCTGTTGATGTGCCTATGCTTTGCTGCTATGCTATGCTATGCTCTTCTATGCTACGCTATGCTATGCTGCGCTGTGCTATGCTGTGCTGTGCTGTGCTGCGCTCTGCTATGCTATGCTATGCTATGCCGCGCTGTGCTATGCTATGCTAGGCTATGCTATGATATGCTGTGCTGCGCTATGCTATGCTACGCTACTCTACGCTATGCCGTGCTCTGCTATGCTAAAGCTCAGCGAAGCTAAGATGAAGGTAAGCTAAGCTAAGATAAACCTGGGCTAAGATGAAGCTAAGCTAAGCTAAGATGAAATAAGCTAAGCTAAGATTAGACAAGCAACGCTAAGCTAAGGGGGCGCAACTGGGGGAACCTCGGGGCGGATGCCGGGGGAACCGCCCAGGGCGCTTTCCACTGCCCGGCCCCTTCAAGCTAAGAGAGTGAGAACCCTCTAGGCAGAGCCTAGGTAGGGAATCATCATCATCATCATCATCATCATCATCATCATCATCATCATCATCATCATCATGGTCCTCATGGTCCTCATCCTCATCCTCATCCTCATCCTCATCCGCCGCCTCCTCCTCCTCCTCATCATCATCCGCCTCCTCCTCCTCCTCCTCAAATTTGGCACCAGCCGTAGGCCTTCACAATAAATCGATGTCGGACAAATCGAAACGACTTCGGATTCTCGCCCGATCCGCGTCGGATCCGTGTCGAACCCTCGGCGGGTATACGACGAAACCGCAGTTTGCAGGACAGACATGGCCCCGAAGATGCAACGCAAGCGAGGCCCATGTGAGCGACGATAAGAAACGAGTCTCACGCGACATGGCATCAAGATTCCACGCGGTGGCTTACGCGGGCCGCAGAGCGGAAGGCTACACCTGAAACGAGGGCGCTTACGCGCGACCTTGCGCGGGCGGCTCACGCGAAATGCCAGCGCAGTCGAAACCTTGAGCGCGTTTCTGTATCATCGGCGATGACGGGCGTCATGGGGGGGCGGGGAGAGCGTGAGACGTAACGCCACCCCCCGCCGTGCGGCTCCGGCACCATAGCCGCGCCCGCGCGCACGACGACGATGAGCGACGAGCGACGAGCGACGAGCGACGACGACGACGACGACGACGACGACGACGTCGCTCAAGTGCGAAAGCTGCTCTGAGCCAGGGCCGGCGACGAGGCGGCCGCTGGCCTGCTCACGTGGGCGTACCAGTTCCTGCTGTACTCGGCGCACTTGCTGTCCTGCGCGGGCGCCGCGCGGGCCGCCGCGGCCGCGCCGAGGGGAGGCGGGCCCAGAATCGACTCGAGAAGCCAGATCGGCAATCGAAGTGAATCGGGTCAGCGGAAATCGGCGGCGAGGTCGGGAGAAGTCGAAGCGGCTGAGACCAGGGGGCCAGCCGGGCCTCCGTTGAGAAACTGGGATCCCAATCGAGATCAGGATCGGAGCGGCATCGGAACCGACCGGAATCGAATCGGATGGAACGGAAGGAGTCGAAAGGAGCCCTGACGGGGGGAGGGCGCATGGGGCAGACGGGACTCGCGGCCTGGGACGGGCGGAGGAGAAACATTTGTCTCGACTTCGCCCTAGCAACGGCGGGTTCATTCCTCTCGCGCGCCCACGCAGCTTCGCCTCGCCCGCACGCACGACACGAACGAAACGAAACGATTTCCCTGTTGGGGGTCTCCATTCAACTGCGATCTCACCCCCCAACCTCCGATACCCAGCGTATAGTAGATCGCTTCCCGAGCGGTATGGCCAGAAAGCGCCAGCCACGACGCACATACTGCAAGACTTCTCGGGGCGCGCGTCGCCCCTGGTGGGGCGGCGCACACATAGTATCAGTATATTGGTGTGACGCCGAATCTACGCCGACCCCATCTAGGATGGGCCAGAAAACAACCGACAACACCCCACATACAGCCCCACGGGGCTTAGCGTATACTAGGAAATCTGGCGCGGGCTTCTGCATGGTGTACGCTACGGTCCCCGATGGGCTGTAGCGCAACATGGAGGGCCGTAGGTGGGGTGGTGTCGTTTGTTTTGTTGGTCCTCCTCCTCCCCCTCCTCCTCCTCCTCCTCCGCCTCCTCCTCCTCCTCCTCCTCCTCCTCCTCCTCCTCCTCCTCCTCCTCCTCCCATGGCGAGGTCCTCGGGGAAGCCGCACCCGCAGTCGTGGCTGCCGGCGCTGACGCTCTCCTGCCCGCGCCCGCGGGCGGGAGGGCCGCGGCGCGCCGCCGGAGGCCCGCGGACGCCGCCGCCGCCGCCGCCGAAGTCGCCGCTGCTCTTCGGCAGCCGCCCCTGCCGCGGCTCGATAGACAGGCGCGCTCCACTGCTCGCAGATTGGCGGCGAGCGAGGGGTGCGCTCGGCCCAGGATTCCGAGGCGAATCCAGCGGTGGCGACGAGGGCCTCCCAGGAGGCCGAAATGGGAAGGAAACGGGCGAAGGGTAGCGGTATGGGCTCCTTTCCCTCCTCTGATCCACCCCAACCCCACTCCGTCTGTCGGCGGCGAGCGAGGGGGGGAGTGAGAAGGAGAAGGCCCTCTCAGCAGGCGGCGGAGCTTCTGAGAAGCCCCCTCTGGCCTGCTGAGAAGTTTCCCGTGTCGACGGGGAAGGCTCCAGAAACTTCTCAGAAGGGGCCTCCGAGCGTTCTAAGAAGGCCCGCCCTCTCTCCTCAGCCTCCTCCTCCTCCTCCTCCTCCTCCTGGTCCTCCTCCTCCTCCTCCTCCTCCTCCTCCTCCTCCTCCTCCTCCTCCTCCTCCTCCTCCCATGGCGAGGTCCTCGGGGAAGCCGCACCCGAAGTCGTGGCTGCCGGCGCTCATCATCAGCATCATCAGCATCAGCATCAGCATCAGCATCAGCATCAGCATCATCATCATCATCATCATCATCATCATCATCATCATCATCATCATCATCATCATCATCATCATCATCATCATCATCATCAGCATCATCATCATCATCATCATCATCATCATCATCATCATCATCATCATCATCATCATCATCATCATCATCATCAGCTCAATCATCATCATCAGCATCATCATCATTCATCATCAGCATCAGCATCAGCAGCAGCATCATTCATCATCATCATCATCATCATCATCATATTCATCATCATCATCTTCATCATCAGCATCATCATCATCATCATCATCTTCATCAGATCATCATCATCATCTCATCATCATCATCATCATCATCATCATCAGCACCACCATCATCATCATCATCATCGTCATCAGCAGCATCATCAGCAGCATCATCATCATCATCAGCAGCAGCATCGTCATCATCATCATCATCATCATCATCATCATCATCATCATCATCATCATCATCATCATCATCATCATCATCATCATCATCATCGTCATCATCATTCATCATCATCATCATCATCATCATCATCATCATCATCAACAACAACATCAACATCATCTCATCATCATCAGTAGTATCATTATGTTTATCGTCATCATCATCAGCAGCAGCATCATCATCAGCAGCATCAGCAGCAGCATCAGCGTCATCATCATCCTCATCAGCATCAGCATCAGCATCAGCATCAACAGCATCATAATAATCAGCAGCAGCAGGAGCAGCAGCACGTTAATCATCAGCAGCAGCATCATCATCATCATCAGCGTCATCAGCAGCAGCATCAGCATCAGCATCAGCATCAGCATCAGCATCAGCATCAGCAGCAGCAGCATCATCATCATCATCATCATCATCATCAACATCAACATCATCATCCCCATCATCATCAACAACATCATCGTCAACATCAACAGCATCGTCGTCATCATCAACAGCATCATAATCAGATCATCATCAGTATCATCGTCATCGTCATCATCATCATCATCATCATCAGCAGCAGCATCAGCAGCAGCAGCATCAGCAGTATCATCATCAGCGTCATCATCATCGTCATCATCATCGTCATCAGCATCAGTATCAGCATCAGCATGATCATCAGCAGCAGGAGCAGCAGCACCATCATCACCAGTAGCATCAACATCAGCGTCAGCATCAGTATCAGCATCAGCATCAGCATCAGCATCAGCATCCCCATCATCATCATCATCATCATCATCATCATCATCATCGTCATCATCATCATCATCATCACCAGTATCATCATCATCATCATCATCATCATCATCATCATCATCATGATCATCATCATCATCATCATCATCATCATCATCATCATCATCATCATCATCATCGTCAACATCAACATCAGTATCATCATCATCAGCAGCAGCATCATCCTTTCATCAGCATCAACATCAACAGCAACAACAACAACACCAATCATTTTAAGACTGAGTGTTCTTCCTCGATCGCGTGCCACGCAACGCATATCTCCCAAACCCTCGATACTCGCCCTCTTTGTATTCGACCGTACCCCCTCGGGGGTATATCTTACTTACCTGCCACGCACATTTAGCGCAGCCCCTAAAACAGGTGCAGGGGGGACGGATGGGGGAAGAGAAGGATGGACCACGAGAAAGGGCCTCTCGGAGCAAATCGCGGGGAACCTTCGAGCGGGAGCCCTTGTCATCGCGGCTGCGCCCCCACTAATTTGACTGAGTTGCCAGGAAGTCTCCAGCGAGAGCGCTGTTTCTGAGTTCGGGAACCTCTCTGGCCTGGGCCTCCCGGATGAAATCGCATGGAAATATCGAGCGGGAGCCTTGTCGTCGCGGCTTGGCATCCGCGAACTCGATTGAAACGCAAAGAAGTCTCATGCGAGAGCACCGTTCCTGGGGCTTCTGCGGGCTGGGGCCTCTGTGGGCGCGCTTGGGGCCTCTGTGGGCTGCGTTGGGCTCAGTGGGCAGCGCGGGGGGGGCCTCTGCGGGCGCGCTTGGGGCCTCTGTGGGCGCGGTTGGGGCCTCTGTGGGCTGTGTCGGGGGCCTCAGTGGGCAGCGCGTCGGGGCCTCTGCGGGCGCGCTTGGGGCCTCTGCGAGCTGGGGCCTCTGTGGACGCGCTTGGGGCCTCGGTGGGCTGTCGGAGGGCCTCAGTGGGCACCGCGCGGGGGCTTCTGTGGGCGCGCTTGGAGCCTCTGCGGGCTGGGACCTCTGTGGGCTGCGTCGGGGGCCTCAGTGGGCGGCGCGTTGGGGCCTCTGTGGGCGCGCTTGGGGCTTATGCGGGCTGGGGCCTCTGTGGGCGCGGTTGGGGCCTCTGAGGGCTGGGGCCTCTGTGGGCTGCGTCGGGGGCCTCAGTGGGCGGCGCGTTGGGGCCTCTGTGGGCGCGCTTGGGGCTTATGCGGGCTGGGGCCTCTGTGGGCGCGGTTGGGGCCTCTGTGGGCTGCGTCGTGGGCCTCGATGGGCAGCGCGCGGGTGCCTCAGTGGGCTGCGCTGGGGAGCCTCAGTGGGCAGCGCTCTGGGGCCTCTGCGGGCGCGCTTGGGGCCTCTGTGGTCTGGGGTTTCTGTGGGCTTGGGCCTCTGCAGGCTGCGTCGACGGCCTCAGTGGACAGCGCGCCGGGGCCTCTGTGGGCTGGGGCCTCGGTGGGCGCGTTTGGGGCCTCTGTGGGCTGCGTCGGGAGTGGGCAGCGCGGGGGGGCCTCTGTGGGCACGCGCGGGGCGGGCCTCTGTGAGCTGGGGCCTCGGTGGGCGCGCTTGGGGCCTCTGTGGGCGTTGTCGGAAGGCCTCAGTGGGCAGCGCGCTGGAGCCTCTGTGGGCGCGCTTGGGGCCTCTGAGGGCTGGGGCCTCTGTGGGCTGCGTCGGGAGCCTCAGTGGGCAGCGCGTTGGGGCCTCTGCGGGCGCGCTTGGGGCTTCTGCAGGCTAAGGCTTCTGGGCGCGTTTGGGGCCTCTGTGGGCTGCGTCGGGGGCCTCAGTGGGCAACGCGCAGGGGCCTCTGTGGGCGCGTTGGGGGCCTCTGCGGGCTGGGGCCTCCGTGCGCGCGTATGGGGCCTCTGTGGGCTGTGTTGGGCGGATTCAGTGGGCAGCGCACTGGAACCTCTGTGGGCGCGCTTGGGGCCTCTGTGGGCTGGGGCCTCTGTGAGCTGCGTCGGGAGCCTCAGTGGGTTCGCTTGACGACTCTGTGGGCTGGGGCTTCGGTGGGCGCGCGTGGGGCCTCTGTGGGCGTTGTCCGGAAGCCTCAATGGGCAGCGCGCTGGAGCTTCCGTGGGCACGCTTAGGGTCTCTGTGACCTGGGGCCTCAGTGGGCAGCGCGCTGGGGCCTGTGGGCGCGCTTAGGGGCCTCTGTGGGCGCGCTTGGGGCCTCTGTGGGCTGGGGCCGAAGGGCATCAGTGGGCAGCGCGCGGGGGTCTCTGTGGGCGCGCTCGGGCCCTCTGTGGGCTGGGGCCTCTGTGGGCGCGTTTGGGGCCTCTGCGGAACGAGGGGCCTCAGTGGGCAGCGCGCTGGGGCCTCCGAGGGCACGCTTGGGGCGGGGGCTTGGGCGTTCGTGGGCTGTGTCGAGAGCCTCAATGGGCAGCGCACTGGGGACTCTGTGGGCGCGTTTGGGGCCTCTGTGGGCTGGGGCCTCTGTGGACGCGCTTGGGGCCTCTGAGGGCTGGGGCCTCTATGGGCTGTCGGGGGGCAACGCGCTGGGCCCTCTGTGGGCGCGCTTGGGGCCTCTGTGGGCAGCGCGGGGGGGGCTCTGAGGGCGCGCTTGGCGCCTATGTGGGCTGTACTGGAGGGCCTGCGGGCCGCATGCTACGGTCCCAATGGTCTTACTCTGGGCCTCAGTGAATTAATTGTGCGTCGGGGGCCTCAGTGGGCAGCGCGCCAGGACCTCTGTGGGCTGTGTCCGAAGGCATCAGAGGGCAGCGTGCTGGGGCCCCTGTGGGCGCGCTGGGCCTCAATGAGCAGCGTGCTGGGGTCTTTGTGGTTGGGGGGCCTCTCTGGCCAGGTCGTGTAGGAGTACTAAAGGGGGTGTCGAGCGGGAGCCCCTGTCGTCGCAGGTGGGCCTCCGGCGCCGCTACTGACTTGCAGTCTCGGGCCGCGGGCTCTCGAAGTACAGCTTCAGGAAGTAACGAACGGGAGCCCTTGTCGTCGCGGCTTGGCCCACACCAAATTGACTGAATGACGAGGGCGTCTAGAGCGAGAGCGCCACTTTTTGAGTTCGGGGGCCTCTCTGGCAAGCAGGGCCTCTGCGAATGCATGTTGAGGAAGTATCGCGCGAGAACCCTTTGTCGTCGCATGTGGGCCTCCACCAATTTGACTGAATCAACAGAAA